AGGGGGCATCTTCAAATAAGTTTCCTTCGATTGTTTGTAAACTGTTGATGCAGTCAGGCCAAAGTCCCCCGAAAAGTGTTGTGATGCACATTTGATCATATCCACAGGTTAATTTGTGCAATATAAATATTAAATATTAATATTAATTAATTATTCAGCATTGAATTTCACTGCTAGTCTTTGAATATTAGTAATCAGTTCAGTGTTAGCTGGACTATCAATATCATTCCATTAATTGTATACAATCTTCATTAAAATCACAAATAAGTTGACCACAATTTAATACTCAAGCTTACCAAGTCAATTTTGGTTTTGTTGGGTTATTCAATACAACAACAATAAATGCAACACCAGAAACAGCCATTAACACTTTTAAATTAATTCCTTTTAGAGACCAGGACAGAATTTCTCCCTACAACATTAGTACAATATCAAAGAGACAATTGATGAGAATAAAAAAAAATGTCAATTAGGGAATCATTTGTTGATCCACTACCAAATTCTCCGAACTAACATCAAAAAAATTGTGTGGCAGACAGTAAGACGATGTGGGAGCAAAAAGGTTAAAGGTACCTGTTGAAGATATCTTGAACTATCTCAGGTATTGTGACAAAATATGGTGGATAGGATAACATCTTGTAACCTTGGACACGGAATATTTTAATTTTTATGGATCTTGGTTACTTGTTAGTAACTTATAAGTCAGTCATTTACATACCCCTGGATGAATTACATTATATAATTATGTTTTGGCCAGAAACCATTTAAGATAACTTCACAAACTAAACTTGAAGAATTTCTCAAACCTACTCAAAAGAATCTTTGTAACAGTTATCTGCTGCTACATAGTCACTCTCATGAAGATGAACAACAACCATGCTCAGAACAACCTGGGAACAATTTACAAATAAATGTGAATGTTACAACAAAAATATTGGCAGCTGTCAAAGAATACGTCTAACAGTCCCCCTTACCCTCACCTCCCCCTTCATTCACATGGAATCCCTCCAAACATAGTGATGTTCATATTTCTTTGAAACATTTTTGAAGCAAACCAGTCTTAAATAAAATAAATAACTATAGTAGAACAACTACTGGTAGCAAAAATGGGGGACTGTGCTAAGTTTAATTAGTTACACCCTAACATAAGTACTGGTAAGCATATTCTCCATACTATTTCTTATACATTTCCTAAAGTGCTAACAAGGAGAATTTCTTAGGAAATCAAATGCTCTTTATTCCTTGTGATGTTTAAGAGTGACTCAGGGATGATATTGTAAGGAGAAATTAGAGGCTATAATAGTCACGCTTAGGGATCAAAGGGTTGATTAGCCTTGCAAAGGAATCTAGTTGTAATAATTATTTGTACTTTGTTGTGGCTTTGCTCATGTACAAGTTAGAACGATTTTGAAATGTGATGCATAAGATGAATGATAAGCAACTCACATAAGAACAGAGAAAAATGGGTGGAAATGTCTTATCATGGGTCTTGAGTCCTGGATGTAAATTGATTTTGGATAAATTTTCACCAAACACACAATATAAATGGAAAAACAAGGATAAAACAGGCTTTGTCTGAGTCCTCTTCTGGTCTTAATAGACATACTGTAACAAAGGCAACAACAAAGTCACTCCCAGAAATAGTCAAAAAGGAACTTTTCCTTACTGTATCAATTAAATTTCAGGTAAATGAGATGAGAAGACAGAAAAGTACCAAATATGGAAAATTCTTTGATTGTGAGCCAGATTCTCAGAATGAAAATTCAAGAGTTGTATGGCAAACAGTGCAGAGAATTGACATTTAGGTCTTGAAGATGAAAGGGTGAAGTGTGAAATATGTTTGTTTTTTAGGTAATAGCATGACTTGGAGTGTAATTTGGTGTTAATGAGCACAAGTAAATTAAAAGACAACAAAGTTGCAAGAGCCCATGAAGCAAGTGCAATTTATAATCTTTAAAAAAATGTTGAAGGGCTTAATATTAACACCATACGCATGAGAAAGTTGAGGCAGACAAAATTTTTACCGCGCATGCCCTATTAGTAAACAGAGTAAAAACACCAATTTATAATGTAGAAAAGAATACCTTGGACATCATTTGAAAGTTCTCTATTTGCTCATATAGTTTCCTCTGTTGTTTCATGACATTCAGAGCCTCTGGAAATCTTAAAGAAAGTACTAAATGAAATACAAAGTAGGTGTGAAAATATCAGGAAAAAGTGACCTTTATGTCTTTACCACTATTGGTAATAATATTGCAATCTAATCAACCAATTTGATGCTGCTCACCTCAATGTGTCACACACTGAAAGAATTGTTTTAATTGACATCAATTGTGATAAAAAAGAAGAGATCAGCAGTAGTTAAGCATAGTCTGTACTCTTATCAACAATGATATTTGTCATCGCAGTGGTCAAAATTAATTTTGTTGCAGACTCACTTGGCTGCCCCACACAAGTCTTCAACACTGTGATGACAAATAATCATTGTTGATATGAGTTTAGACAACTGTAAACCACTGTCGATTTGTTAACTTCACCACGCATCTACTGCACACCTTCAACATGCCTCAATTTAATTTCCAGCTTAGAAGGTAGTAGAACCGTAATTAACATGCAGTACCATAATCAAAAGAAAAGATTTAAAAAAAGAGGCAAAAGTAGAACAGATATGCAATGAACCTCTGTATATAACAGCACCCTGCAAAATCAAATACTGATACTTCTCCTTCACCAACTGAATGTAAAATCAGGGGAATTCATAAATAAAAAATTTAAAGTCTAGTCACCTGGAAGGAAGGTTGATACAATTGCTTCTAGAAATGCAAAAGCTTAAATTACCTCCTCAATTTTAAAAGAAGGTTGATAGCCTTTGATAAAGGTTCAATGGCTTCCCTAACTTTGTCTTCAGACTGTGATATAAAAACACAACATAGTTAGAATAAAAGCATATCTTGGATAAGCTACATGGTTTAAACCAGGAAGTAAAATTTTATCACTATCTGGTAAGGGAAGTTCTGAGGAAGACTGTTGGAGAGGGCAGTGTCTGATCATAACAAATGACTTATTAAAGAATTTAATATATAAATAAGTGTCTAGTGCTCTGTATTCAACAACAGAAGGTTCTGCCCAATTAATGACCATTTGCATGTACTTTTCCTCTTTCATATTCGAGATTCTTTATATTCTTTATATGTATTTCAAAAAGAGTCTGTTACCACTATTCTAGCTTATGTTTTTGGCTGTCAGTGATAAACTGGATAGCAGATGTAAGTAAGAGTAAGATTGGAGATGTTGCATGTGCATGCTAGTATAAGATGTAGTACATACAACATTCATTTCACTAGCTAAGATGTAAAGCTCAGCTGCCTTTGCTGGATCACTGCTATCACACAACCTATATACAGAAAATCAAAGTAGAGTAACAGCCAGGTCATATGTGCATGTAAGCCACATGAAGCCATGTGTATTTTGGGTCCAACTTATTCAAACCATATCAATTTTCTCTGTTTAAAATTATGTTTGATGACAGAACCAGTCATTTAAAAGAAGAGGGTGAGGAGATCTCAGATATTTAAAATTTTGAATCTTAAATATCAAAAAGGAATTTGACTAACCCACAATTACCTCTCAGATAAACCAAATACTCCACTGTTGCACTACAACAATTTCTTGCACTAGGAAAAAATCTGTACCCTGCCTTATTTCCAGTTCTCCCAAACTTAATTTATATTTTTCATGTTTCCTATATCTGAAAAGCTATCCAAAAGATATCTAAAGTATACTCTTTTCTTGGAAAGAAACCAACTAACTGTAATGGAGCAAATGGTATCTACTATGTAACTTTAAATTGAATGTGTGGGCTACACCACTGAGCAACTTTAATAATGCACTTTTAATTATTTCAATCTCAGATAAACAACTTTCTCCTTGGATTGATTAACAGTTTCCTTTATCTCCTTTCCCTTTTTATAAAAGGAATTTAGAATCAACCTTGATGGAAAATTTTTACCTGAGATTTAAAGGTACTCACTTGGCTCCTCTGATGAGGGCAAAAGCCCCTGTATCTGGATTACCACTTTGTCGGTACATCTCACTGCATTACAAAATAAATCAACTGTTGTTAGTCCTGTAATGTAATGTAATATAGTCCTTGTGTATCATGAGGAAAAATGAAAAGCACATGAGCAGATGGTAAGCTCAAGGCTACAGGAAAGTACAGTATCACACATCTTGTAATTGTTTTTTATTTCAATGAGCTCTGCATAAGTTTCTTTGTGTTTGTGTTCAAGGGAATGGGAAAGGCATTTCATCTTGGGAAAATCAACGTGAGTTTAAATCACTTTTACCCATCATGAAAAGTTGTCCTTAATCAGGAAAGATATGTTCTCCAAGAGAAAAAATTTGCCAAAAATGAAATGCCTCATAACCTACAATAAACTCCATATCAGATAATAAAAAAATTATCTAATACTAAATTACACTAAAAAAAAATACTCTTTGATATTCTTAACAGACATTATGAAGAACACAGAAAAGTATTTACACAGCTCTTTCCACCAAAGAAACAGCCTCTGTGACATTTTTCATCTCCTTTAGTACTGAAGCAGCTTGTTCTAAAGCCCTACAAAGGAAAACCAGGAAAAAAACCAGTCAGTCCCTTCATGCTATTGGGATCATGTGTGTTAAATAATTCAATCCATTCTGTCATCGGGAAAACCACAAAAGCTTGTTTTTTCTTTGTTCAACAAAAGAAATTATTGCTGTGTGCCAGTAACTCTGAATCATATATCTATGGATTAACTTTCACAATATGAGAAAAAAAAACCCAGACTTTTGAGTCAGATTCCTCTGCTCAAATAACAAGCACAGTGAAACAGATCTGTCTAATGTATCTGAATAGTTGCAAAAAGCTCCTACCACTATTTTTGCTTCAGCCTTTAACTCCCAGAAATGATTATGTTCACATTACTTCTCCCTATAATATTGCTACATTACTCCAACTTATCAGGTAGAAGTTATTATCTTGATCTACCACCAAATTCTCATCACTAATTTACAAAGAAATCTCTATGGCAGCTAAAGGGGAGAATTCATGATCAAATCTTGTCAGTTAATGGGTTCAATAAAGATTGCTACCACCCTGTATCTGTTTCCACTTACTTTGCTGCATGGAACAAGCTAATATATTAAACACATGTTAAGAAAAATTGAAATATGTACTGCATCTAACATAAACCTGCTCATAAGTGAGAAAAAAACCAACAAGTCATGATACGTTTAATTTGAGGATATAACTGTAAAATTTTTAAATCTGGCCCTGCATGATCATTGTTCAATAGTAGTAGTAACTGTAACAATAATTGATTCTAACATAATTAAAGTTGTACTCAAGATTACTGGATACTCTGAGGAAAGTTTTGTCAAGCCGAGGTAGTTTAATTGTCCTCATTTATCTTGAAATACTGGAAGGCTTAAATTACTGCATGTACTCCTCATTATGATGCCTACTTTGTAGAGATCTGAGATCTGGAAATGTATGTTTGACTTCAAATCAATTTCTATTCTCCGAGTCCTGAATTTGCTTCAGAATCTTAACAGACTTGTTTCAATCTCTCCTCAAGGATGGATGGCTGTAAACAGATGTAAATAGTCCAAAATCAAAATACATCCATAAAAGTACACCAATTCTTGAATGATTAAAATAAAAATTAGAGGGGTGGTTTTCCCTTGTATTTTTTTTTCCACTGTTAAACCTTCTGGTTGATTATTTCTTCAATTATTGGAACCTGCCTGCTTGAAAATGAGTTACAGGGATAATTTACTTCAAGGTGGAGGTGATAAAGTGTAATCCTGTGGATTGGCTCTGATATCAAAGGATACGCATTTGAATTAGAATGGGCATCAGCAGCTTTTTTGAATGCCTCAGCAGCTCTGTCATAAGATTTGGCAGTTTTGAAACATGTTCCTATGACAACACAAAATATTAATTCAAATTGGCAAGCATTAAACTCTGTTAAAGCAGGGATCATGTTGCCAGTGAATTGGTCTTGTAGATACACTGTACCTGATGGTGAAACTGTCTACTGAGGAAATGTATCGCTCATAAACTTTGAGAGTTAATTACTTCAACATGAGGTCATTTTACCAGTAAGGTGAAGAGAATACACATAATATGAAAACAGAACACACTGTAGTGTCCTGATTTGACACATTTGCTACAACAGCAATTTTACACAAAAGATGTAAAGATAGAAATAATGTTTTTACTGGATAAAAACACACTGAGAAACTGGCATGCCAAGCACTTGTCTTTTATCTTAGTTTTCACAATTCCTTTCTTTTTATGTTGTTAATAATTATCATTTGCACACAATGTAATAATGATGACAGAAGACAAAGGTTGTATTCAACACTCTTACAAAAAAGAGAAACTACAAAATGTAAAATAGTAAAAATATTCAATCATAAACAACCCAAACCCTCAAAAATATATTCACAATCTTAATGATGTTTAACCATCATATAGGATATAAGGTTCTGTTTCATTATCATATACCAAAATTACCAACCTGGAAAATATTGTTTGGTAGCAAGCGGCTCATCATTAGAAAATTTGGTGATAAATGAAAACAGGAAAGAAATTTAACAAGCTATTGTGTTGATTGACAAAACCATTCAGACAACCTGAAAGTTTTCATTATCCTAGGCAAACTTTACTCACTGCCATTTCATAAATACCATGGCTTAATTAAAAAAGTTGTATTACCTATATCTCAGAAATTGCTTCATTTATGTATAACATCATAGGATAAGAGGGGAACCATTCCCCCTGGTTCTCCAATCAACTGTTTTCAGGACTTTTGCTGGTAATTTTGCGAGTTACAACCAAGGGAGGCCACAAGCAACATTTCTCAGCATCATCTTCAGAAGACCAAGTTGAACTGACCTTTCATGATAGTCACAGTACTTAATGTAACTCACAAAAAATGAATGACTGCTTTGTCCTTCTGGGATGAGAAATCATCTTTCTTACATACAAAAAAAGGAAAGCACTCACCAGCTTTCATGTATTTATCTGCTGCACTGTCCCAATCAGGTTTCCATTTCAACCAGCTGGTCTTTTCACTAAAACATATTCCAGAATATGACATTTCAAGTTAAGAAGATCTTTTCTACTGTTTTGTTACAGATCTTAGAGAAGGGATGGATAAGTTTATTGCTAAAATTGACCATATCAAAGGCTGCTGAGTGTTACAAAGTCTCTGCTGACACAACTACCAAGCAAAACAGAATGGTTAACTAAAATGCAATTTCTCTAATCCCCCAAGTGTTTTACTTGCCTGTTGGCACTGCACATCAGTTTCTTTAGAAAGTAATCACTTCAGTCATTTAATCTTTACCTGCTTTAAGTTTTCTTTTCACATTTTCCTTTGGGGTTATTCTATTAAAAGACCTCTTAGTTGAATTTTGTAAAATGGTCGGAACTACATGTACCACAACTGCAATGACCAGTCCAAACTAGGGGAAATATCCCAAAGTGGTGATGAGAACTCAGAGCAAACAGAAGCAAACTATTTGAAGGGTTTGAAAACATGACTGATGAAAAAGAAATTAATTGTATGTCAGCAGCTGATGCTGATCAAAAAGCAAAGTAGAGCAAAACCAATGCAATCCTGGATTGTTTTTAATGCTCAACTGAAAACTGCTCTGTTGTAGGTTTCAATTTTGTTGGCATGTTACTGATTGTGATATTGTGTTCGCAAAGGAATTAAAGTGCTCCTAAACCCAAAATTTTTTTTTCGCTTAACGAAATAAGCTTATTTTTTGGAGTATTTCTGTGCAAAAATTATTTAATTTGCTCAAATCTTTAATTTTCTGTGCCCAGTCAAAATACGGAAAATCGGCCGCCATCTTGCCCCACGACCGAGTTTAAAGAGGAATGGCTCTAGCGGGTAATGTGACGTCAAATCGAGAACACGAAAGTCTGCATTTCACACATTTTCACTTGTTTGGGAAGGTTGTCGTCGATATTGTCCGAAATATGCCGACTAGGTGTGTTGTATGAGGAATGTATGAAGCGCGATACCCTCTTGCAAATTTCGCACGTTGCTACATCCTTCTACAACACACTTAGTCGGCATATTTTCGGACAATATCGACTACAACCTTCCCAAACAAGTGAAAATGTGTGAAATGCAGACTTTCGTGTTCTCGATTTGACGTCACATTACCCGCTAGAGCCATTCCTCTTTAAACTCGGTCGTGGGGCAAGATGGCGGCCGATTTTCCGTATTTTGACTGGGCACAGAAAATTAAAGATTTGAGCAAATTAAAAAATTTTTGCACAGAAATACTCCAAAAAATAAGCTTATTTCGTTAAGCGAAAAAAAAATTTTGGGTTTAGGTGCACTTTAACATTTTTATTTCTAAAAATAACATTTTGTTTGAACCTCATTTTTAANTAGAGTGAAAATGTGTGAAATGCAGACTTTCATGTTCTCGATTTGACGTCACATTACCTGCTAGAGCCATTCCTCTTTAAACTTGGTCGTGGGGCAAGATGGTGGCCGATTTTCTGTATTTTGACTGGGCACAGAAAATTGAAGATTTGAGCAGATAAAAAAATTTTTGCACAGAAATACTCCAAAAAATACGCTTATTTCGTTAAGCGAAAAAAAATTTTGGGTATAGGTGCACTTTAAGCGAAAATAAAAATTTTGGGGTTTAGGTGCACTTTAACCATAATTTGTGGCACATATCCCTCATCTTATTCTTACACTGATGTTGATCATAAAGAACAAGAACCCTGAGCTCATATATTTAATCGGTAATGGAATAAAATAGACAAGCTAGTAGCTACAAAAATTAATTCAGTGTTCGGTCATGTCACATGAAATCTGATCTTGAGTATCCATTTGAAGTAGCTAAAATCGATCGACGATCGAAATCAAATGCACGCTGAACAATTTGCCGCCTTTATTAGAATTTTCAACCTAATGGACATTTCATGAGGTATTGTAATTGATTTTCGTCCTTTTCTGAAATAAATTGATTAGTTAGTTTCAATTTAGATGAATCATAAATCGTTAAAATGAAGTATGAAAAGTTATTTTTCGTCTCTTTGCCTAAAACCGATCGATCTCAATCATGCCAGAAAGGTAAGGCGCGATATATCTCCGACAGTTCAAGAGAGAGAGCAAATAGGGTGAATAAATTTCATACGAGATATCAGACGTTCGCTTTTCTTACCAATTCAATATAAAACGGATCACTTACAATTTTTCGGCCTCTTTTAACAACTGAAGACCTTCCTGCAGTTTTCTTTCCTGCAAAGCCGCCATTTTGATTCTTTCGCTAAACCGCTGGCTATCGTTCTCGCGTCTTCGCCCCTTTCCAGGGAGGGTTGGGTAGAGAACTTTACCAGGTAGGTTTAAACGTTGATGGGCTGTCGTGGGTTCAAAACGAGGACTAGGGTGTTTATAAGAGAGATTTAGACGACTTCTACGACATAGAGGGTTGATTCCCAAAGCTGGAGAGAAAGGGCTTCAGCTTGTTTATATTATGAGTCCACAACACGAGAAAAGGTCGGTGGGCGGGTTTGGAGGCGAGTTCGGACTCTACCCACTAAATTTAACTTTTGTCCTGAGACGTCCTTCCATAATATCGTGGAAAATTGAAAAGCTACTAAATAGTCAAAACGCAAATTGCAACGATAGGAACAAATTCCATAGTAAAATTTATTTTCTCACGACGCCATGGAATGTAGAATAGACTGGTTAATAACGAGTCGTAATTATTTGAACAACATTTTATTTTGTTTTTGTACTTTCACTCAGTTTGTCAGTAATTGATTTGGAAGTGTAAAAGCAACCTGCACTGATGCTAATTATTTTTTCAAAGTGAGTATCACAAGATACCTCACGGGATTTGCAAAAAGCTTAAACCTTGAAAAAGCATATCGAATTGATTAAGAGTAGCTAGTAATTCTTTCAGACTTTCAACGCTTGCGTAATTTGGGTTCCTTTCCCTCGTTTGATATTCACAAAAATTGATTCGTCATTAAATTGACTGAGCATCACAGATTAACAAAAGTGAAAAAAAATTCCCGAAGGTATGTCTTCGCAAAGAACCAAACACTTAATATGTGAATATTTTAGTCTACATACTCTACGATCTCCTTTACAAGACTAAGTTGGTTAGTGGCTTAAAATTCCATAGTTTATAGACTACGATAATCACATATTACGTTGTTATCTAATCACCAAACTCCCTTTGTCTCTTAGCGCTAGGATATGTTTAGGTGTTTTATTTGGAAAGTTTAGCATAAGTGGAGGATTTTTGTTAATAAACTGCAATACCTGTGTTTACAAATTAAGCTTATTGTAAATATAGAGCAGTTCTAAGGCTAGCACCCATTAGCCATCTCTTTATCTCCAAAGTATCTCTCGACTCAAAGAAAAATAGCTTCAGTTTTTGTCGCAATGTAAGACCACAACTAAACGCATAAACTTCTCGTGCTAAGTATTTGTGACGTTTGTCTTTGAGATGAAGAAATTTCCTTTCTGAATCAAATTGTTTGGGACGGTTACTATGGCACCTTTGTAATTTCGTGACACACGAAGATCTTGACCAATTGCTGTTCGTTTCAATTGTCCTGGGAATATTTAGTGGAAAGAGACGCTCGCCAGCTGCTCTGCTTGCTCTGGACCAGCTAACCCTGCAGTATACCTAGGGAGGAACCTCTTCTTGAATTTTCCTTGTTGCCAAACGGAAATTTAAACGAAAAATGTCCGACGAAGAACTGAAGACGGTTTTTAAATCGTTCTGTGCCTTTGGGGCAGGAAGTAAAGATGCGCAACCTGAAATGGACAACGCGAAATTTGCAAAACTCTTTCGTGATCTCAAATTGTACGACAAAAAATTTACCTCCACAGACACGGATATTATTTTCAACAGACCCGAAGTCAAAAGGTAAGATCGACAAAGTCTAGATTTTATCAACAAAAATCACTACTTGCCTTTGTGAACTGTTTTTACCGAAAGCCGTGTTTGTTTGGCTATCCTCTTATAGCAAGACGGATCGGAAAATTCGCTTTGATGGCTTTAAGAAAGCTCTGGAATTATGTGCAGAGAAGAAGTATGGAAACAAAAGCGAAGTGCAGAAGTTAATTGACAAGATTTGCAGCGGAAAAGGTCCAACGGCCGTCGGTGCCACGGTAAGATGAACTGAATTGTTTTATTCATCAACAGGTACGGTTTTGTAACTTTACAGTACTTACCTCAGGCACGAGACTATGGTGTGGTAACTTATTTTTTTTGTTAACTGCACGTCACAAAATATTTCTGTCATCCCCATTCTTGCCCCCCCTTGCACAGGTTAGAACTGAAAGACGTATTTTCTTCTCAAGTCAATACTTTTTAGGTAAGGACGTGTCCTCGAATTTCCATCGAACATTCTTTACGTCTTCGAGATCGAGTTGTCAAAATTAACTCAAATTCCTGGGTTACAATGAACTATTTAACCAATATAGATTGCTAAATGTTTAAGAAACTTACCCAAAATATGAGAATCTGCTGTCAATTTTTCGATCTTATATTAAAGTTGTTCTTCAAATCGAAAGTAACAGTTGTACTGCTCCACATCGCCTAGAATTATTGTTTTCAGACTGGAAAACGCTGCCAATTGTCGTTTGTAAATATTTGCTAAAATTTTCTTGAGGAACTAGCCATGGATGATTTCGGTATCAAGAACCTTTCAAGTAATAGTTAAAAGAGGTCAAGATAATTTTGTTTTTTCCCTGTGTAATCTTTTTTTGGTTGAATCTTTACAAGGACAGAAGAAAGGTCAAAATCATTCCTTTAGCTGCTCCCCCCCCTCCTTAAAAAGGATTTCATTTTCGAAAAATCCTATACGTCCAATACGAAATAGCATTTGATGGGGGGGTGTACCTCTTGGGTGAGGTCTCGGTAGAGGTTTGCTGCTAAGCCTTGATAACCCCTGACCACCAAGCATTGGAAGCATTTCATTCATTTTGCTCAACTCTGTTTGATATATCAAATTGTATATAGCTTTGACCCAATAACCACCTAGAATGTTTTAAAGTAGATTCAAAAAGGGGCCCAAAACAATCTTGCCAATACTATTGTTAGAAGTAGACATGAATACTGCATGCCTCCAAGTTTACACCCTTTTCAAGGCTTCTTGCTCACAAAGGTACCCTGTGCAAGAGGCTGAATTAAGTAAGAGCTCAAGACCCTGAAAACCAGACTGGAAATACAAACTCCTTCTATATCTAAATAAATTGCATTTTGTCACTGGGTTGTTTGCAGAAACAAAGTAAGACAGGTGGAGTTGATAGAATGACTGATACCTCACAATACACTGGATCACACAAAGAGCGCTTTGATGAGAGTGGAAAAGGCAAAGGAATAGAGGGTCGTGTAGACAGGGATACCAAAGCTGCTGAAGGCTATGTAGGTGGTTATAAAGGAAAAGATACTTATGATAAGACACATTAGAGTACAAAATGTAAAACAGACTCTTTTGTACCATGTTGTGTGCTTGATTCACTCTTAAAGTTCACGTTTGACATAAAATGTAAACAGTTTAGGGACAATGAGATTTTATGACGATTGAGTTATCACTGAAATGATTAGATTTAATTTGATTGGATCAACCTAACTGATAATGCATGGCTGGTCAGGTTGTTCTTTTATTAACTACGTCAAGGTATTCAGTAGTTTATAACTTATTTCATTGCAATTTTGGACTGACTTTGGCAATTTTTAATACCAGTAATTTAAACTTTGAATAAAAGCAACAAATAAAGTGAAAGTATCTAACATGCAGTTTGAAGCAGAGTTTCTAATTAAAATGCTTCTAAGGATGTTTGTTAACTCTTCATACTACCCTGTATAAAAAACTATGGAAAGAGTAGCAAATATAGTTGGTTATCAGCTACTAAGTTAATTCCTATCATTATTACAGGGAGTGGAGAAGGAATGACGGGGGGACTTCAAATTTAGGAAAACATTTTTGAAAAGAAATCACGAGTGAAGTCTTGAGCAGGTTACTTTATCTTGGTTGCTGCTTTGAAATTGGGGCCTAAAGTCACAAACATTGGCAATGTTACCAATGACTGATAATTTTTGCAGATATGGTTTGGACAACATTTGCTGACTTAGATATAAGTTTTATCTTACCCTGGTAGTTTTCAACTAGTACTAGTTTCATTCCTGTCCAATTTTCGATAGACTTTTACTTAAAACATAATAATTTGTATATATCAACAAAGTTGAAATGCTAAATTGGCCACCGTAACGATTACAAAAGCTGACGTTTCGAGCGTTAGCCCTTCATCGGAGCGAATGGTTGTTTTACTTAAAACAAATGGCATTTAATATGCTAATAAATTTTCCATGGATTGTGATAATTTCTGCAAATTTGCAGCACATTTTAAAGATGTTCTTGCATATAAGCTGCACCCCTGATTAGTCGAGAGAATTTACTGAAAAAGGTTGTGGCTCATATGTCAGTGGTTACCATCTATTGATATGGTGCGGGATCAGTAGGAAACCCCCTAGCAGCTACTTAAGCCACGCTGGGGCAAATTCTTAGGAAGCATTACACAGAAAAATACTTTCTATTCATTCTCTCTAAGAGAATATAATGACAACTCAATTAAAAATCTGTACTGTTATTTGCTTTTAGTCCTCAAGAAAAAGCACAAACAATTAGGGATTTCATTAGGGCCTGAAAACTTTTCTTAGGCTAGCTGAGGTACATGATTGTGTGCCTAAACCCTAATTTGGTAAATATCTTATTGTATATGATTATATGACCCATCAGGCCCCTATTATGCAATCCAATAGATAACCATAGTGAAAGCAGACTTGCACTGGGCAGGATGGGTTGAAATGAGCCTGTGTGGGAAAAGCTATCCAGCCCTGCTGCCCTCATATTGCTTTGTTGCAAAACTAAGGGAAACAGAAATGAGAAAAAAGGCAGCTTTTTCTGAGAATTGGGAGTTTCTTGTTCTGACTTGGAAAAATAGAGGAAAGGTATGATTGCAGCATTTTTTTGGCTGTGTGCCTGTCTATCATATCCTATGTGGGTTGTTTATTAACTTTTCCTTTCAACAGGAAGGGTGCTTATTCAAGGTTGGGCACTTAATCAAATATATATGTTATGACAACCTTGAAGTTGAGTGGAGTAATTCTTAAGAAACACAACAAATAAAACTGAGAAAAAAGTTCTTGTCACCAAATATCTTCCACATTTATATTAATTGATCGTTTCCCCTCTAAGAGACCTACAAGCACAAATGATAAAACTATGACACGTCCCTGCCTGACCTGTCTCCCTAATAACATGGTACCAACTCTGTAGATTTAAAGATGATAATAACAACAACAAAAGAAATAAGAAGTGATAATATCACCACTACAAACTTAGGGATACTTTATTATAATACACTATGCATACACACACTGGTTTGACATGATTATTTTATGAGCAGAATGGCAAACTAGCATCTGAGAATCAGGCTGACACACTAATGAGTGAAAATAATTGACATATAAAAATATTACTGAATGCGTAGGTATGTACAGCTCCCTACCTCCCTACCTCCCTGCACAGAAAAAAAAAATGATGATAATGATTATGATAATGGGGTGTATACACATAATGGTTGAAGGGATAACTTTAAGTTGATATGCACATAATGCCTGAATAAATTAAGTGCTGTACAATCAAACAGAATAATACATTGTAACAAAAAAGTTTTACATTCCAAGCTTTCAAATTAGGAAATGATTTTAGACTTTCATTGAAAGTTATAGTTCATAGATTCTTCATAATATTTTTAAACTTGGGCAAAAAATAGTCACACAAGCTTTAAAATGCAAGGTACTCTCTCTTTATCACAAGGTACTCTTTCTTTATCACATAAAATAATTTTATGTTATTTTGTAAGCAAACATCTTTACAGTATCAAAGGAAGAGATATCTGTTCTTGTCTTGATGTTACTTGACACTATTTGGTAACCAGTCAATTGTCTTTTTAAGATTATCATAGCTCCAGTGCATCTGGTGAACTTCATGTTGATGGCGCTGCCGTGCCTCGTCCAGTTCTCGCAGCAAATGGTCATTGGTGGAAACTAATGATCTGGGTGAATCAAAAGAAGAAGAAAGACTTATTATAAACAAACTTGACTCAGATCATTGACCCATGTCCCCTTTCCAATTTGCCAGTTAGCATCTGTAGATGAACCCTTCAATGTGGAAATGGTTGTAGATACTGTAGTAAGGATGGAACATTGCAATTTTCAGCAGTGTGTGTACAAATTTAGTATTTGCATCTTTTGGACAGAGAGCCTCTTGAAGATGCAGGTAATCCTTCAACTCCCATGAGTGACCAAAACAAAATATCTCCTTTCAAAAATATCAATACAATATCAAGCAGACAAGTGATGAGAGTAAAACCAAATTCTCCAAACTAACATCAGAAGAATTGTATGGCAGAAAGTAAGGAGAATCACTAATGAAATCCTGGGAGTGAAGGGGTTAATGGGAATGTGGTAGCTACATGAATTTCTGATATACAGTGAAAGCATTTTAAAGAGCATGCACCATCATGACTAAGCAGTCAGTAACAGCAAAAGGACTAGCCCAGCAGTTGTTCCCTGGGTACAAAAATGTAGATGAAGCTATCCACTGAATCAACCTCTATCACATGGATAACACACTTCATTTTTTTGACACTTATCTACTGGCCGGATATCAATTTGTACATCACATAGTATCGTCTGCTTTGATAAACTGGGCCTTGGTGATTATATCCTTCATAAATAAGGATTTTTGTAAACAAGATTTGCTAATTACTTTTTTCATTATAAGGAAGACAGAGTTAAGGACCACATTACAAAAGAATGAACAGAGATAGTGACATCACAAAGGGTATGTCCACCTCCTCCTTTGCATGCACAGTGACCAGCATTCACTGTTCTGTTACAGAAAAGAAAGATTTTAAGTGGGGTGTAGTTTTTATGTTGTAGCAAAAAGTATTGCTTGAGCGTTTTTTTTGCAAAGTGATTTTCCAAGAAATTTGTTCACTTTCTGCAAAAAATACAGTATCTCAAGTTGATCAATTTTACAAGTATGTTGTACCTGTGGCTCTCTTGGAGCATGTTTGTGAGCTCTTGTAATTGCTCCAGATTAATGTTTTGTTGTTGAACCTGCTGGCTGAGAGATTTGACTTGTTCCTGAAGTGAGAGATTTCTGTGTTGAAGTTCACCTATTGGAGAAACAATATCACGTCAAAATCCAATCATTACAAGTTTTCTCTTCAGTTTTGCTAGTGAATCATATCTATGCTCCTTTCTATACAAAGTGTTGAATTCTACCCTGTTTACTAATGACTGCCTGTGTAAAACAGGATACATTGCTAATTCCAACTGCGTCTTCTGTCATCAGCTAACAGAAACCAAATCCCATATTTTGTTCAGTTGTTCTTTTTCGGATTCTTTTTGGCATGAGGTTAATGAAAAATTTTTGTGTAAAATCAAGAGTTGCAGAATTAAGCCTCTTGCTTACATATTACAAGGTTATTGTTGGGTCTTTTGAGGAGGAGATGAATCTAAAGTATTCAATTATATAGTAATTTTAGAAAAATCTTTCCTGTGGACTTGTCAATGTAGAGGAACATTACCTTCCTTAAGCCACTTCATAAGAATTTTGGTAATAAAATATGAGACTGAAAAACAATTATATTTTAAATAGAATAAAATGAATTTGTTTAAAGAAAAATGGAAGACATTTGAGGAAGCAATATTTTAACAAATACTTAAAGTAGACAATGTTCTTATTTAGGAAAATTGTATAAGTTAAATAAATATGTAGATAAGAATTGCAAAAATCTTTTTTAATTTCGAATATGGTGTCATTGTTAACTTTTGTAAACCAAACTTCTTTCATTCTTTTGTACCTTAATAGTTAAAAATAGAATTGTAACTATAGACTGAAATAAATACAAAATAAACAAAATAAAAAAAAGTTTCCTCTTCAGCTGGTCATGAACTAGTTTGCTTGCAGCTAATAGAGCCAGAAAAGACTTCAGCCACATGCCTATCTATTAACTTTTCAACTACGTATCTTTCTTTTTCAACTATCTTGTCAACTTTTGCTCAATCAAACTTGATTATTTTGCTTTACTTTAGTTTACTGTGACCATAACAGTGTCCAACTAAAAAGCTATTGCTACCTTGGACACCGTGCACATCTTAACCTTATTTTTGTGGCCAAATATTACCTTAGTTTATTTTTCTCTTTCTGTTATCTTTAATATAAGCCTTGTAAATGTCATTTAATGTTTGAAATAAAGAATTGAATTGAGTATTAAAAGATGATATAGCTAAGCAAGTTAAAGTAGCCTTTAGTTAGCTACTTAACGCAGCTTAGTCTGTGCTTCTATCTTTTAATTAGGGTCAAGAACATTTTGTGATAGCACTCGAACTGACACTTTCTCCTCTGTTTTTCTAATACAAGAGGGACAAACCTTGTATGGTAGGGTTGTTAAGTTAGGTTCTGAATCGAAGGTGACTGAAAATAGGATTGCATTTTGACATTCCCATTGGTTGACCTCAGACAGAAGTGTGCATTTACATGATGATGACCAGTTATGCATGTAATCTAGTAGTATTCTCTCTAACTTTTCACTCCAAATATTCATCTATAACTCCTCCTTTGTGTCTGCTATATATTTCTCATGATTTCAGTTCAGAGAATTAAGTATTAAATCAAACAATTTACATTTTCTCAGGTGGCAAAACATCCTGTTACAAAGCTTTATATTTAGTTGTAAGTTTATAGTCATCTGTTTTGAAGGATTTGATCAAGTTTGTTTGTTTTAAGATGCCCCTTCTGTTTAAGACTGATCACAACATGATGAAACACTGTAGCTTTGGCCCTGGACCTCAGAGTTTGCATGTAGTGAGAGGCAATTAGTAATACCAAATTGTGCTCTGTCACTTAAAAGCATTATTATAACAGATGAATACCAAATACGAGATAATGAATGCAGTTCATCATCAGTGTGTACCAAAAGGTTACAAAGAGATTCTTACATTACCTATAAGTTTTTCTTGCTCTGAGGCACCATGGGAGGTAACTTCTAAAGCAGTTATTTTAGATTGCAGGGCACTATTCTCCTCCTGAAACTCCAGAAGTCTTGATCTCACTGAGGCCTAAACAGAAAGTAAAATTTAAGAAACATTGCCAGGTACTTTTTATTCAAGGCTATGAAGGTTTGCAGTTTTCCTCTGGGACCAAAAAGATTAGCGGGAATACTTCCTAAAAAAAACTTAACATGTAATTTGGTGACAGAGAGACAAACTAATTAAAGAAATGTTTTCAATTTTGTTAGTTGAGGAAATTTTTCAAGTTTTCTATACAATTAAATCACAGTGTGTGGTTATGTGTTAACCAATTTTTTTAGTCCCAGTTTACTTGTGACACTCAACTGAGATCCACTGCTGTAATTTATACAGTCATACATGTATTAAACAGAGTAAGCATTTCCAACAAAATAGCGAACAACAAACCAGCTCATGTGAGGCACCATCAAGTGAACCCTTTAATCCCTCGTGACTTTTTAGCTTGTTACGCAATTGTTCCAGTTCAGTTTGCTGTTGTGACATTTGGTCACGTAGTCTTGATATTTCTGCTGTTCTTTCCTTCAGTTCTGTTTGTAGTTTATCATTATCATGTGATGGTGTCAAATGTGCTCTTTCCATGGAAGCTGGTGAGTAGGAAGAAAGAAGTTTTTGAGCAAGACCTGCAAATCAAATAAAAAAACATAGAGATTGTAAATATTTTAGAACAAAAACATTCAGTGGACATCTTGTCATTGATCTTAGTCTCTTATACTACATGTAAGCTGACAAATAGCAGTGAAACTCTGTAGAGTGATCAAAACTACATGCTAGCTGTTGGCGTTTAATATACAAATCCCTGTACAATTTTCTAGTATATATTTTACAAGACTCAATTTCCTTTTATAGGAAAACCCTGTATTTGACAACCCTGAATTATTTGAGCAAACTCTTAATTGCTAGTTTTGTCTTTCCCTTGATTATTCAAGAAAAGGATTTTATTGTTTAATTATATCCATTGCTTATTTCCTCTTGCTGGAACAATAACACCAATACAAAATAAAATATACTTGTGTTTTTCAGTTTTGAACTCACTCTGAAACTTTGAGTGGCTATGAAGTGATTTGGATCCATTCCAGTACCTGTGTAAACAGTGAAAAATATTGCAAATTATATACACTGTCTTACATGCTAAAATATTAAGTTCTTTGTCATCTGCAATAGATGCTATTCATACCCAATGCAACCTCTTACATGCTGTAAAGGTTTTCATAGCATTTGAAATTTCTGCCAACCCTCCCCTCCCCCACCTTCCACCTTGTCTCAGGTGAGGCCATATGTACAGAAAGTAACATAAAAAGTACTTTTCTGTGACAAGTACTTTCAAAATATGAGTAGAGCCAGAATTAATGGGTCCTTTGCTTCCATGAAAATAAAAGATAACTATTTCACCCAATAGTTGAGGTTGCTCCCCTCACAAAATAAAGGCAATATACACTGAATTGAAATATGGCATCCACTTTGAATTACGATTGTTCTGGACTTACTAGCCTCGTCTCGACATGGAAAACACARAAAGGATTATCACATGTGTGAGAGGCTTGAGTAAGTCCAAAACAATGGCAGTTAAAATTGGACGCCATATTTTGATTCGGTGTATGCCTCAACCAAAATTTCCATACAATATAAACCTTACTTGTCCACTAAGTCAAGAAGTTTGTGTAAGAGTCCTTCTTGATCTAAAGAACCTGAAGTGTCTGCAGTTACCTGTAAAAATCAAAGAGAGTAAGGATATATCCATTATAAAAATTAATATTGTATTAATCATCTAATAGCAGTTACACATTAGAAGAATGCCATAGAACATCATGTGTTAGCAAGGTACATGATAAGTGATTAACTATGACACTGAAACAGTTTAAGCAGATGTCAGGAAAGAAATGACTCACTTATAGTAAGTGCTCATCTTGTAATGGTTTTCAAATATTCAGGAACTTTTTAAATTGGGCCCATGTGTTATACAGTCAAACCTTGATTATCCGGACTCGTCGGCACCTCGGTAAATAGTCCGGATAATTAAGAGTCCGGATAATCGAAAATATGAATATTAATGAGATAGAAATGTAAACAAAAGGTATACAGCAAAGAAAACACCATTTTAATTGTGATATCTACACAGCCTGTCTGTATTTACAAATAACGCATCACAGTATTATAATTCTTTGTCTCGTTGCACTTGCAAATTTTGAAAAGCGCACAGGATAATATGCTGTTTCAACAGTCTTTGGAAAGGATTATTGGGCTTTTCGCGACTCTTGAGTTTTCAAGATCACAACTAATTAATATTCATTAAAAAAAATTGGGACCAGACAAAAAAGTCCGGATAATTGAATAGTCCAGATAATCGAGGTCCGGATAATCGAGGTTCGACTGTACACAGTGATCATAGTACTTACAGTGTATCCCATGCACCTTGAACAGGAATTATTTTATAACTTTAAATGTACTTTCAACAATCAAGATTGTTAGTTATCTGGTGTTGTCACAGATACTAATTTATCCCCCCCCCCTCTAAAAAAAAGTTCCTCTAGAAAAAATCTACAGATCTACATAATTATGCTCCTATGCATATGCCAATTAAAATGATGAGAGGAAAGACTTTCTAAAGATACCCATGACAACTTCCTCCTCTGTAAAGGGCTCACACAAAAAGTAAAAGTATAATTGTGTGGCACTTTACCTTCCAAATTAAGCTTGGTAATCTGAACACACTAACACCTAATCAACTAAATGGTCAGATAAGCCCACCCTGTTTGAAATAAGAAATGCAATATAAAATTATTGTATTCTGCCAGTTCTATACTGAGCAGAATTCCTTCAATGAATTCCATGTGAAAGCATTTTACATGATTTAAGGAGACCTTTATGGACAACACATGTCACTTTCTTAAACTGAGCAGTTTGGTATGTCCCCAAGCTAGGCTAGCTTCATCCATCTAATGCATGTGTTATAATTGGTTCAAATGTTTTCTCTCAATAAAAATTTTTCAAAGTTAAACCAATTATTTCTTTCCCTTCTTGGTAGATTATGTTAATTAATGATAAAAAGTAAACACTGAACTTGTTGGAAAAATTTTTGTCCAAGACAACATTTGAACTACATCACGCCCAATTCTCAGTAGCAGTGCTGCCGTATTGAGATGATATTTAAGAATAAAAACAATGAAGGTTCTGAATTCAACAAACACATGCTACCAAGTGCAAGACTTGCCGTTTTTGTTGAGTTTGCAAAAGAGTCATGTATTGGCATCTCTCTTTGGCTGCTTATATCACCTCCTGGACCTAACTTGTCTGCAAGAGGTCCTTGTGATTGTTTAGGAGAAGGTTGTAGTCTTCTAGAAGGTGACAGTTCATATGACCTTGCTGACAATGGTACACTCATGTCTTGTCCTCTTTCTTGTGTTCTGGGAAAGTCATCCTTATAATTAACAGACCTGTCAGATGTAGGGTCTTCTGGGGCATATCTTGGATCATGTGACCAAGTGCTGCCCCTGGGTGTCGTAATATGATTTGTTACCCTTGGATTTGGTGTGAAATGTCCTCTTGTGGATATTGTTGTGTTAGCATTTGTTTCATCTGTGTATTTCAGATTTGGATTATCAGATGGTCGTATTTTATCATCCGCAAAATGAACATACACTCTATCCTTTTGCGCTCTTAAATCCTGAGAAGAGGCTCTTAGATCTGACTTGTGCCTGGTAGGTCCTGCGATTGATGGAAACATCTTGTGGAGTTCTACAGAAAGAGAGATAAAATGAGCAGATTGAAAAGCAAGATCTGTGTTTTAAAATTGTTTAAATGATACGAAAAAAATTTACCACTGAGTGATACACGATTACCCAGTATAAATAAATTTCCAGTACTTCCTTTGTCAATAGTTTTTGTATAAGATGTAAATTTTTGTGTGTGTTTAATAATTATCTATAATCATTCAATCTTTTTACGGATACACTGGTTAAAAAAAAATAGGTAGCCAGAGTTGATGCAGACTTACATACCATGATGAGTTTAAGTACACTCTACTAATATGCTATAGATTAATTCTCTTACATGAAGAAGTATTTGAAACTTAATTATGAAGGTGAAAACTGGAAATTGTTTCTCACTTCCCTATTGGTGGGTATTTATTATGATGCTTATTCAAACTGTCTTGCATTTACTTTCATTTCCCGGTGATTGGGATTTTCAGACATTTTGAAGACTTTTCATGAATCTCACTCTGGTTCCTTAACTTCCCAGGTTTTTCCTGACATGTATGAAACCAATGTTTATAAGAATTTTATCAGGCATGGATCTAAATGACAATGTTATTTGGAAAACAACTAACCATCTCTAGTATAATCTTCAGCATCAGGCACCCTCGCTGTTGAGCCAGATATCCCTCTCGGTTGTTTTAAGTCTCCACCAGTGCATGTAATAAGATCCAGGACTGCCACATCATCATCCTCTAGCACTTAAAATATGATGAAATATTAGTCATCAGATGTTGTAGCCACAGAGAGATAAACAGTGACAGCAGTTGATGGTCGTTCTCATCTCATGCCATAGTGTGACTCCTAATGATAAGGTGGCATTTATATTTATTAACATGTTATCAAAACTAAATTATGCCCTTATACTTAACAACATGTTGCAGTGGACTGCAACAAGCAGTTTACAATATTTGAAAGAAAATTACTCTGGGTTTTGTTGTCCTCATCCAAGATTGACTTGAATGTCTCAGCATTTGCACATGTCATGGCAAAGGCAGTACATTCTCCTCAGTAATGTTTCAAGATCCTGAATGTTGGTTTGTTCTCAGGATTAAGCCTACTACTTCCTCAATGGCAGTCTGGCACCTTACAACCTGCATGCCAAATTCATTTTTAGAGGAAAGATGAAAATGTAGGGTAGCTAAGGTTCCTATTGAAAGTCCTCTGTGAAGCTGGGATGGATAAGTTAATATGAGATTTCAGGGGCAAAAAATGTTCATTCAAAATCCTAGCCCTGACCTGGCCACTCAGTTGTGTCCTTAGGGAGGAATGCTTTACTCTCACAGTGCCTCTCTCTACCCAGGAGAGTGCCACAAGACTTTGTAAAAAAACCTGAAAAAATGCTGGGATGTATATCAGGCAAATGTTGATAAGCTCTTGCAGTAAGGGCAAGCCTTGTGGCTTGAGGACAGACTTCAAAGGCTTGTTAAAATTAATATTCTGCACATGCTGATTGGGCAGAATTATTCAATCTCAGTCAGTCAATTGGATAGATTGTACCTGATGGATGAGGAGCAAGATTATGAATCATGTCAGATCTAGGCAGGGGTAGCCTGAAAAAAAAAAAGTAATGCTCAATTACAAATCAGTAAACATTCTAAATTTAAAAGGGGACAATTTCTAACACTGATAAGTCAGTAAACTTTCAATACCATCCACCAAAGATGGATGGAAGTTTTTGGGACAATGCAGTTTGACTGATGTTTATCAACAGTTATTATAATTATTTAAGAAGTTTTCATTAAAAAATAACTACTGACAGATTGCAAATGGGAGTGTAAAACATAACCACTCAAAAGTGAAATTCATGCAAAAAATTAGAGGACTTAATGGAAGAAATTTCAGGATTTAATGCAAAATAAATAAATTGTACCTCTCTAAAGGTCTCTCAGGATTTGCGGAAGAATGGCGATCAAATTCTGATGCCTTAAGAAGAATTAAGAAACTTATTAAAAATTAAATCAACAAGATTGCTTTACGTTCCTTTTGTCTAGTAATAATAATAATACTGAAAAACTTGATTATGCCTTACAAACATGATTGTAAACTAAATAAAACAACCTATGGCTGAAAGTTGTTGACTTCTACTGGAAGATAAAATGTCATTGTAGTGTTTGTCAATGCATATAAAGTACTATTAGGAAACTCCCAGGAGGAACAGTTGGTGCATTCAACTATTCTTAAGAAGATAGAAACAATTTCTTATGAGAAAGGGACCAAGAAAAATCTGAGTGGCCTATGATTCTGAGTACTCCCAGTTGAGAGTTTACAAAGAGATGTTCTGATCATGAAGCTACAAAGAACTTGTTGGTAATGTGACAAGTTCACAAATATCCTGCATTGTGTCAGAATCAAATCATTTACAGCAGTCTACGTGGAGTTACTGACTGAGTGGAAGGGACGGACGGGAAAATATTTGGTTTGAGGTCATGATATACAGACCAAGTGTGGTGAGGTCTATAGCTCATGACCCATAGCCAAATATTTTCTTGTTCAGCCCAACCAAACTCAGTCAATAAACATTTCATCATAATCATGACCACTAACTGTTGAAAATTTTCACTTAAATTGGACACCATAGAAGGCCACATGCAGCCACATGAGCACAAAAAAAAATATTCTGGAATAATTTTATAACTTTTCCCTTATTTTTTCAAGTCAGAACAAGAAACTCACAATTCCTTCAAAATGTGACTTTTTTTTCTTATTTCTATTTTTCTTTGATTTNATTATTTAAATTGCCTCCACCCACAGTTCGGTAATATCTTCAATATCATTCCCCTGACAAGTCCTTTGAAATCATTAGACAGTGTTCAGAAATGACTGTTATTGAGTTGTATGTAGTAATGCTAATGACATTAGAAACCAGAAAAATGTTAATGACCAATTGGTGAGTGTTAGTTATGAGACTGAAGAAATATCTGGGAGTTTGAGACTTCCCAATATCAGCTGATCAAGAGGAAGAAAAGCCTCTTCTTACCAAGTCGCCGTAGATTTGGTAGCATGTGGACAAGGAACAGACGGTAATCGGCTTCATTTTTGGTGACTGGGTTTAACCGCAGATCTAAGTCCTTTGAAACAGGGAAACAAGATTTAGGCATACATATTAGATCATGATGAGCAAAAACAGTATCTCATGCAGCAGGCATTCTTTCTTCATCTATTTCAACTTGAAGTAGTTACAATTAACCACTTGCATTTGTTAGATATGAGACGACAATAGCCAACTCGGCGCTACACACCTTGTTGGCTATCTATCATCTCATAACCAACGCGTGCTCGTGGAATAATTGTTTTATTAAAAAGAACGCCTCCAAGACATTAAACAAATCTTCTTGACTTTATTTTGTAAGAAGAAACTGGATGTTACAATGCACAGATATTAGATTATATGGTATATTGGCTTATATACCATAATGGCTCAGCCAATGAAAAGTCTTAAATTGTATTATCCAATGATCAAGTTTTTAATAATTACAGTTATTGTAATGTTAGTGGTAAAAATTGTACAATGCTACACTCAGTATGCTGCATCATGCTGCATTCTGTAAAATTTTCCCAGACAATGTACATGATAAGCCCTTTACACCGTAGCATCAGTATCCAATCCAGATTATCCACACTGTTTTCGATATATTTCCTTTGACAAGGAGAATTCCTTTGAAAATCAAAGCTTAATTCTTAGGTTGGCAATCAATTTCCTTTTTTCAAGAATAATTCAGCAGCATTACTGTAAAGAGAAATGAATTAAATGCTGGTCCATCTATGATCGGTTGAAAGAGATGAAGAAATTTGCTCATTCCATTTCTTAGTGTAACAATAATAAGTCCTACACTGAATACATTAATTGTCAGTCAACTACATGGCAAGGGTAGATTCAATATAAAATCAGCTATACTTACCTTTAGATTTGCCAAATTCCTTAACCCATGTAAATCCTTCAAACTAGATATGTTATTGTAGTATCTGTTATTGATTCATGTTAAGATCACAACATCAGAAACAATACTTATTATGACCTTTAACTTGCTTTCCCCCTTAAATCATTGAAAAGTCACTGTTATTTGGACTCATAAAGAAAACTTGAGCACTATTTCAATAATACTTTCCTAAATGTATTGTGTTGAGTTCTGTGGAGTTCATCTTCAATGCTAAGACTTGAGTTTTTGACGTGGCATTTAGTTGTTATAAGCTACAAACTGTAATTTCAAATATTCTTGGAATTGTGAAGTTTTGCAGAAAAAAGGTTTCATAGAAACTGGCATTCCATTTCTTTACAATAAGCTTACTTTTGAAGAGGTACTTAACTTTGAAAAGTTAATGTCTTGATCATGCATTCTTATTGACTGGGTGGGGGTAGTTAGTAAAAGTAATATTCAAAGATCTCAGTGGGAATCATTGTGAGATTAAAGGGAGGAGTCAGTTGTTAGGTGAATGTTTTCAGTCTAGTTAGTGAAGATGTCTTTCTATTCTCGACTTTCTTGCATACAAGAGTATACTACAGTCCTGAAAATCTTTACAATAATCCAATGTATTTGGAATTAGTCTCTTTGAAAAGATGAAGAAGGATACAGGTTCAGAGACTCCAGTGTTTGTTGATTCTCCAGACCCTGTTTAAACAAAACAAGAACAGAATAACCTTTTTTAACAGAACCCTAAGAATAGACACCATTACTAATCAAAGTGAATTATACTGCACTCTATGCTCAAGTTTAACAAATTTGTAATAATACAATCTTAATCAAACTAGTTGCCAGAAATAAAACTGTAGATTTCAAAAAAGAAACCGTGTCACAACTGATCCTTGATATATATTTCTTTAACATATTTTATCTCGTTTTCATGCTTTGCATTCCGCTAATTTAGTGACATTATGGTCATGCAATTTTACATGTGACCTCCTTGATGAGAAAAAATAATAAATAGTTGAGTTGTGAAGTGCAGTACTTATATGGCACTAATATATTTGAAAAACTGCATCTGGATTGTTAAGCCTACAGCACCTTTGCGCACATGCAACTGTTCCATAATTGTTATAATTTTGTATAATTATATATATATTTAACAATTATTCGCTGAAGGCAAGGTGAATATCGTCAAATAATCCCCGAGACGAAGTCAAGGGGATTATTCGACAATATTTACTGAACCTGAGGTGAATATATGTTTTAGTATAATTTCAGAGCTGAACAATAGAGAAATTTCTAAAATCATAACATTTTAGTAACATTTATTAACATTTTATTTCAACATTTTATATAAACTGCGTGGAGCAGTTTATACAGCATCATATAAGGAATCACTCAACCAATCAGATTGCTGGAAACTCTGCTCAGCTCTGAAATTATACTAAATAGATATATATATATAAATAAATAACTAGTATATATAGTATGTATTTATGTATGTATGCATGTGTGTGCCTGTGTCTATATATATAGA